TTAACAAAAGCATACTGTGAAGCACACTGGAAATGCACATCTGCTTTTCGTGTGTGACTCATGATCACCCAGAAGCCCATGGGTTTTGCAGATAATAGTTTGGTATTTTCAGGAAAGCGAACGTATTTTCCAAAAGCTAGAGGAGGATGCATAAGGCAGAAGGCTCTCCCTAAAGAGCATAATATAGATGGGTAGAATACTGTACCATTAACTCTTATAATCATCATCAGCAGGGCCACTTGAACCTTTAGAAATTAAACACAAAGAGGAACCAGCTGCATGATGAAAGTGGTAATAACACCAGGCATGACATGGTAATATTGTGCTATCAAAAAAGAAAGGAGAGGGTGCATTGTGGAGCACCTGAAAACAAGATTTGCTTGGTGGGGATGAACATGAACCGAGCTCTCAGACATCCCTGGGTTGCACACTGTGGGCAGCTTAAGCCATTACTGCTCACACATGTTGTCACAGATGGCCACATCCATTATTCTTCAGTTCCTGGGTAATCGTACATGACTCAACTTAAAACACAGGATGTTTGTGGCCCAGCCATGGAAAAACATTCCCTATAGGAGTTCTCGGGGTCTAGTTTGAACCTATCTCATGTTTCCAGCAGAGAGAGGGCTGATAGTAGATTTTTTTGCTTTTTCGTTTTGTTTTTTGGACAATTAGGTTCAAGGTAACATCTGCCTGTTTTTTTGCGGCCTGGGCCCCCTGTGCTCAAGTCCTGCTCTGGATAATGAGAGGTTTGGGCTGGCTGGTGCCTCTCTCACAGCTTTCTCCACCCCTGCTGAGTCTTTGGCATTGTATGGTTGCTTCTCCACTTGAGAAGGTCTCCAGGCTCTGCCTTTACTCTTATTTCTGATACGCTGCTCCCTAAGCAGCTGCTCTCGTGGGCGCCCCACTTCACCCTATCCGCCTTGCCCCTTCTGATGGGCTGTGGATTCTTATGGCAGCACATCTGGCTCTCAAGCCACTTTAGACAGGAGGCTGACTCCTGAGATTGGTGCAACATGGATTTATGGAGGGCCTGGAATGTACCAGAAGCTTTGGCAGGAATAGAAAGAGCAATAAGACAAGATTCCTGCCTGGGAGGGGTTTAGTGAGATGCAGACGTGGAGACAGATAAGTACGTGATGTATGAAGAATGCAGAATGCCCTCACGTGCACTTCTGGGGTGGTGGCTTTGGTCTGGGTAGTTGTTCCCCTGCTTCTGAGGACAAAGGAAGGTCAAGTTTGGGCAATGCCTGGGCTGGACTCAGAGGTGAAGCAGTGAGGAGCTGGGGGCAGACTAGCCCCAGGAGGTTTTCCTCTAGCATTCACAGGAGAAGTAAGGGCAGAGGCTCCCACCCAAAACTCAGTCCCCTTGAGGCTCCTCTCTCTCAGCTTCTTTTTCATCTCCAAGGCCAAGAAAGCAAGAGCAGCACATAGAGCTCTTCCTGCAGTAATAAGCGGCAGCCACCATAGGCACAGATGAGGCCTCCTGCGCAGCGTGAGAAGCGTCAGACTCCACTCTGCCCCGAGTCTCCCCTTGGTATTCCCACCAGCCTGCAGTCCATTCTCCTGCCTCCAACCTCACCACACACCACTGGAACTCCTTTCAAGAGCGACTTGCTGCGTCCTACCAGTCATTTCTGGGCCACAGTCTAATCTCTTTGGACAAGCGTGTCTTTTCTAACCCTGCATCCTGCCTTGACCTAGAACCCTGCAGGAAACATTTAAAGAGCACTCACTACCTGGCAGGCCCTGTGCTACCTCACATTGTCCTCACAACACCCCCATGAGGACAGCCTTATCACTTCCATTTTACAGATGAGCAATTGGGTCACAAAGAGGTGACGTGACTTGCCCATGGTCAAAGTAAATGGTGCAACCAGATTCAAATACATCCAGGTCACTGCCCTTAACCATGGGGCTATGCTGCTTACAATGCAAGCTGCCCACAAAAACTTAGTGAATAAGAGAGAATAAAGAATCATGGTGGCTCACACCTGCCTGGAATTTGGGAGGCCAAGGCGGGTGGATCACTTGAGTCCAGAAGTTTAAGACCAGCCTGGCCAACACTGTAAAACCCTGTCTCTATTAAAATACAAAAAATTAAGGCCGGGCGCGGTGGCTCAAGCCTGTAATCCCAGCACTTTGGGAGGCCGAGGCGGGTGGATCACGAGGTCGAGCAATCGAGACCATCCTGGTCAACATGGTGAAACCCCGTCTCTACTAAAAACACAAAAAAGTAGCTGGACATGGTGGCGCTTGCCTGTAATCCCAGCTAGTCAGGAGGCTGAGGCAGGAGAATTGCCTGAACCCAGGAGGCGGAGGTTGCGGTGAGCCGAGATCGTGCCATTGCACTCCAGCCTGGGTAACAAGAGCGAAACTCCGTCTCAAAAAAAAAAAAAAAAAAAAAAAAATACAAAAAATTAGTCAGGGTGATGGCAGGTGTAATCCCAGCTAATCAAGAGAGGCTGAGGCAGGAGAGTCGCTTAAACCCAGGAGGTGGAGGTTGCAGTGAGCTGAAAGCCGAGATCACACCACTACACTCCAGCTTGGGCAACAGAGCGAGACTCTACCTCAAAAAAGAAAAAAAAAAAGGGTCAGACAAACATGTGTGGGCACAGGACTGGCTTCCTTGGGTTAGCCCTGGAAAGATAGGATCCACATAGGGATTCAGAGGATGAAGATGAAGCTACCCAGTGATCAGAATTCTCAGGCAGTCCAGCCCAACCTAAGACTATCCCTGAAGATATTTCTGCCACCAAGTCCACTCACTCCTGTAGAGACAGTGCAAAGTTAGAGGCCGTGACACTGCGAAACTCCTCTCAATGACAGTTATTCCCCTTTAATCTCAGAACCAAATCCATATCCCTCTTGATGCTGTTTATAGCATGTTCAACAATTTGATTAGTTTTAGAAATCAACCCAGCTGATGTTACAGTTAATAGAATTAATCAGAGGTTCTAAGCAGCATTCCACCATGACTGAGGTGATAAACAAATCCTCCTGTCTTCTAAACCCCAAACCCACTCCATTTCTAAATCCTTTTGTGGCTGTTTTCAACATTCTGATTTACAATCGTGACAGTGGAGTCATAAAAATGTCTCAATGGACACACACACACACACACACACACTATATGTGTGTGTGTGTGTGTGTGTATGTGTGTGTATGTATACTTTTTTTTGAGACAGAGTCTCACTGTGTCACTCAGGCTGGAGTGCAGTGGCCCAATCTCGGCTCACTGCAACCTCTGCATTCTGGATTCAAGTGATTCTCATGCCTCAGCCTCCTAAGTAGCTGGGATTACAGGCTCATATCATCGCGCCTGGCTAAGTTTTGAATTTTTTGTAGAGATGGGGTTTCACATGTAGGCCAGGCTGGTCTCGAACTCCTGACCTCAAGTGATTTGCCTGCCTTGGTCTCCCAAAGTGCTGGGATTACAGGCGTGAACCACCGCACCCGGCTGCCTATATACATATCTATACACACATACACATACATACATATGGGAGTTTCCAGGGAAGCACCCACTGGGCAATCCTTCTAGTGGATCCCACGCTCCCACTTTTCAGATGCTTGTTGGCCCTAAAAAAACCAGCAGCACGCCATTCCACACTCCTATTAATTTTTCTGCCTGGCTCTACCTACTTCCCAGAAGTAAATAATAGTAAAAACAAAAATGAGAATCGGCCCCCTGGACAGCGCCCATCCTCAGCACAGATCAGAGATGTCCTGGTTCCAGACATGATGTAAACTCATTCCTCCACATCGTAGACGAGCCCCAGGAAGAGCCACTCTGAGTTCATTTTATATCTTTTATCTCAAAATCTGCACTACTCCCCTCAGGGCCGAGACTGGGATGAGGCAAGCCAGGCACCCAGAGAGCAAAGTCTGAGGAGGTGATCACTCTCAGGGGCTGACCTTGCAGTTACACGACCCTGAGAATGGGTACCTCCTTAAATATTGCACCCTGGGCCGGGCGCGGTGGCTCAAGCCTGTAATCCCAGCACTTTGGGAGGCCGAGGCGGGTGGATCACGAGGTCAAGAGATCGAGACCATCCTGGTCAACATGGTGAAACCCCGTCTCTACTAATGGTGCAAAAAATTAGCTGAGCATGGTGGCGCGTGCCTGTAATCCCAGCTACTCCGGAGGCTGAAGCAGGAGAATTGCCTGAACCCAGGAGGCGGAGGTTGCGGTGAGCCGAGATCACGCCATTGCACTCCAGCCTGGGTAACAAGAGCGAAACTCCGTCTCAAAAAAAAAAAAAAAAAAAAAAAAAAAATATTGCACCCTGGGCACTTTGCCTCACCCCAGTCCTGGCCCTGACTCTCCTCCTCTGTGTTCATGGGATCTCGGCAACATTTGTGGAATGATGCCCAACCTAAGTCTCATCACCGTAACTGGGCTTCAGGATGGGCCAGAGCACTGGCTCAGGGTTCTGAGCTTGCTCTGCTCTTGACATGCTGTGTGATGTCAGGCCAGTTCCATAACCTCTCTGAACCTTCTGGTTTCTTATTAGTAAATGAAGATAATTCCCACCTGCCCTACAGAGTTGCAATAAAGATTAGCTGAGATTCTGTAAGTGGCGTGCCTAACCCAAGATGAAGTGCAGGGTGTGTGTCCATAGTAGGGGGTGCTGAGCCATAAAATTCCAAGTTCCCATTATCAGCTGATGGTGCTGGTGACATCCTCATTCACATTGCAGGGTCAAGACATGAGATCTAGAAAATAACCTATCAATGCCTTTGTTAAAAACAACTTAGCATCTTAAATGCAAGATTGCTTTTTATTGTGCTGAAATGGAACTACATACCAGGTGTTCACCAGTGAGGCTGTCTTACTGCCTAGCAACCCACTTCCTGAAACTCTTCCAGGGTCCAGAATCGAAGTGTATGAGAAGCCACAGACAAGAAACAGGAAGGGAGTCTCACACCAGGCAGAACACCCAGGAAACAACGAAGGTGCTGAGAGAGGGAGGAAAAGGAAAGTGGGGCTCACTTACTGCTTTCATTTTGTGGATGTTGGACCAAAACTTGAAACTGCAGCCGGAGGATCCCTGGACTTTGGGCATCTTGGTCACAGCCTTGCAGGGAGAGGTTGAAGTTCCCAGCCATGTTCCCAGGCTGCTTGTCCTCCAGCTTGAACACCTCGGGGTTGGTGGTGGAGCCCGGGATGTAGTACTCAACCCGCTGCTCCTTCCTCTCGCAGTTGGAGAGGTTGAAGTTGAGGAAGGAGACGCTGGCCCGCAGGTGCGCAGGAATGACGAACTGCCACGTCATGAGCTCATCCTCAGGGAAGCCTTGTGGGTAGTTGGCAGACATCAGGGTTGCTGAGCCTTCACCCTCAAACACAGACTCGATGATGCACAGACCTATTGGCAGTGGAACCCAAACCAGAAAGAATAGGGAGCAATTAGACCCTGTCTTGGTTGTCTGCAGCCTGAGGGGTGGGGGCATGGGAAAAATGACTGCAGTTCTCAGATCCTGAGCAGTGGGTCTGGATACAGTATATTTGAACTCGAGGCAGAGATTGAGAATGCAGACACATCAGTGGTGTGTGAGTAAATATTTAATAACTGATCCAGTGGTGGAAGGAAAAACCCTGACTTACAGCATCTGCCTACTTCCATAGTGGATGTAAATACTCCCTCCATGGCTGATTTCAAACTACCAACGTGACTGAATGTGGAGCCGGGCAGTAGCACAGCACTTTATTATTCCCTCCATACAGATACAACAATGCAAATAACCCTGAGAGCACAAGCAACAGTGAATTAACTAGCAAGTGATAAGTTTTGAATATCATTACCTTTGTTTTTAAAATGATTTATTTAATTATAAGTTAATTTAATTCTATTTTTTAAAATAATGGATCTGTTTCACATCATCTCACAAAATGCCTGAACATTTAACAGTCAGCTGTCTACCAGGCACAGTGGCTCATGCCTGTAATCCTAGCACTTTGGGAGGCCAAGGTGGGAGGATCACCTGAGGTCAGGAGTTTGAGACCAACATGGTGAAACCATCTCTACTAAAAATACAAAAATTAGCCAGGTGTGGTGGCACATGCCTATGGACCCAGCTACTTGGGAGGCTGAGGCAGGAGAATTGCTTGAACCTGGTGGTGGAGGTTGGAGTGAGTCAAAACAGCACCACTGCACTGTAGCCCGGGTAACAGAGTGAGACTCTGTCTCAAAACAGAAAACAAAAAACCAGCTTTCATGAGCCAGTGTGAGAGCTCTGCACATCACTGATACGTTTACAGAAAATGCGAGAGAGTTGGCAGACAGAGCAAAGAAGTTAGAAACAAAGCAGTCAAGGTGGATCTGTAGAACCAATCCCTTTTCATTTTTTGAAAACAAATACCACATGCAAAAAGGACAAAGAGAGTCACCCCCTGTTTAATAGAGAAGAAGGGGTTCACACTAGGAATGAGTGACCCATGTCCCTTATAGCAGAGCAAGATCTTCCTTTATGGTATTTGGATTGAATCTCAGAGATTTGTTGACATTTAGCCATTTCTGACCTAGAACAATGATGAGTTTGTGTGTTTTAACCTAATCAGACAGTGGGGAGGGGCTTGCTCACGTTTTATAGATGAGCGGTTTGCAATGCTGAAGCCGGAGACATTTCTGGGGTGGAACCATGGTAGGTGTAAGGCCATTTTCACTCCTTCTTGCATCTTGATCCGGGACACAGTGCCGTTGCTACAGAAGGTTCCGATCCTGACCACGGTGGCATCGATTCGGCCACTGATGGAGTGAGTGACTCCGTCTGGGCAGCTCTCACCTGGCCCGATCTGCCTCAGGCGAGGGATGGAAAACTGCAGCTCTAAACCAATGCTCTTATGAGCTTTGACGTCCCAGATGAAAGTTCTGTTGAGGGCAGGCAACGATGATGTTGAGGGCTGAAGCTGAACCTCCCCGAAAGGACACAGTCCCGACATACAGTCTGAAAAACAGTCACGAAAGCAATTTTGATCACAGACGCTCCAAGAGCCCACACTGCTCCTCCTTCACTGCCCAGCCCCCTGTAGCAGACTCTTTAACTCCACCCAGGTGGCCTTTACCAGGCAGGTGCACCCAGGCCCCAGCTGCTGTGAGTCTCCGTGGCCAATGGCTCACAGATGCACCCTCCTTTGGGAAGTGCCTCAGTTGCAGGAGCTGCCTTGGAACCAGAAAAGCCTGAGAGGTGTTGCAGCCCCTCACCCCCATCCCAAGGGAGAGTTGCTGTCTATCGCCAGAAATAGCCTCATGCAGGAATTAAAGCCTCTGACCTCCTTGCTTCAAGTGACATAACCTGGGCATGCCATTCATACTCTGGAGCTCCCCATGGGGTCAGGCTGAGGCCGCTCCCGCTAAAACCACATCTGCGCTCAGCTATGTGCCCTGCTCTATCCTGCTTTCCTCACTTCTGAGGGCACTTTCTTGATTAACGACTTAAACAAAAATCCCTGTCTCAGGCTCTGCTTCCAGGTCACCAGACTCGAGACATCTCTGAACTACTGTGATTTCCAGATTAAGTTCCTGGGGTCCAGTGTGTGAAGCCAGAAGGAGGGCATTTGCAGTGCAGTCTGTGCTGTGGGATCTCCTACTTCCCCTGTATTGAGATAGTCACGACTTCACAATTTGTAGAGCACAGTGCCAGATCCATCCTTTAAAACTGGTTTCCCCATCAACACATTCATCAACACAGGGAATATACTCTGAATGTGCAACTCCCCTGGATGGCTGGAACCTGGCAGCGACATTTCTCTTCCAGCGTTGCCTTAATGCTGGTATTTTATATTACCACCGCAACTGAATTTCTTTTTTTTAAGGGTAACAGCTAGTGACATCCTTTGATATGTTTGTTTCCTAAGCCTTTTAAAACAAACCAAGAAATATAATTATCAAGGAGAAAACAAGAAGAAAGCAAGGGGAAGAAATAGAAAGTTGGCAATGTGACATTAAGGTTTTGTGGTCTTGAGCAGGGGATATACGAAAGGCGTGATGGCCTCTGGCCTCTGTAATAATAATTTGTGAATCTTTACTGCTGTTCTATTGGGGTATTTGAAAGTACTGTCCACTCAAAACAGAATTATGAAGAATTTCAGAGCAGTCTCGGCTCTCTGAGGTCATCCACGCCAGATCTCTGATTTCTGCAAAGCAGCTGTGGATCCAGGTGGCTTGGGCTGGCACTTGCAAGCAAGTGCACGGCAATCCCAGATCCCGAGATGAAAGCTCAGGCTGTGTTTGGTCAACACTTCCTTGCCAATGCACTGTGCTGCCTAACCAGTAAAACAGGGTTAGATAACACGGTGACTAATGTGACTAAAATTAGACTCTGCATGTTCGTAAAGGTAGTACCTATTTTAGGAGCTCATGGAAACTTCGTTGTTTATATCAAGCCAACTCTTTCCTTCAAAAACTGACCTCAAGCGATTTTCCACTCACACCTTCAGTGTGCCCAGGGCAACGTCAGTTGGCTCTGGCTAGGTTCTGTACTCGTCTGGGAACACTTAACCGTAGTAAGACAGTGGCTCTCAGCTCTGGTTCCACCTACAACTCACCTGCAGGCCATTTAACCACACCTGGACCATCCCAGGGATTCAGATGTAATTCTATACCAAGAATCTGGAGTCAAAAATCCCCAGCTCTCAGCTTCAGCTCTGTCACCAGCCGTGTGACACTGCAAGAGTCAGGTTATGAAAGCAATTTTTCATTTGATGCTAAGAGCTTTGTTTTTTAGGATGGACACACAGGTAAGAGTAGTCAAAATGATCAGCATGCCTCAGAATCGTCTGTACTCTGTCCAGTGCAAACATTCTACATACCTAAAATGATTCTTGTCCAGAGGATGGAGAAGTGTTATTTCTGAAGTGATTCATAACTCATTTTCCCCAGCATATTTCTACTTTCATTAACTTTTTTTTTAATTTTTGGAGATGGGGGTCCTGCTCTATTGCCCAGGCTGGAATGCAGTGGCACAATCTTGGCTCACTGTAATCTCTGTCTCCCAGGTTTAAGTGATCCTCCTGCCTCAGCCTCCTGAGTAGCTAGGACTATAGGCATGTGTTACCATGCCCAGCCATTTTTTTTTTTTTATATCTTTAGTAGAGATGGGTTTCACTATATTGGCCAAGCTGGTCTCGAACTCCTGACCTCAGGTGATCCACCCGCCTGGGCCTCTCAGAGTGCTGGGATTACAGGCATGAGCCACCATGCCCAGCCAACTTTCGTTAACTCTCATAGAACTATTCAAGAAGAGATGAGAGCAGAGATGTCAAATTTTATCCGATGCTTTCAGAATGATTGTTCAGAAAAGGCAATGAGGGGCAGGCGGACCACGGGACCTGATTCAGTGTCTAGATTGATTATTTTAGAAATTGATACTTTCAGGTCATTTTCAAAAGTTGTGAGCGTCCATTTTTACTACATAGTAAACCACGTGGGCATCCTGGGATTGAGAGACTGAATGCATTCAAAGGCTTGACTTGTGAAATGTGTTGCTTGTTACATTTTTCCTTTTTCAAAGTGGAAGTCACTTTACCGGTTTAACTGATTATAAAAGTAATGTATACTTATTAAAAACAACAACAACAAAAAGACAAGTGGCTGTGGTGGTGTGTGCCCAGCTACCCCGGAGGCTGAGGTGGGAGGATCCCCTGAGCCCCGGAGGTTGAGGCTGCAGTGAGCTGCGGTCATGCCACTGTACTCCAGCCTGGGTGACAAAAAAAAAAAAAAAAAAAAAAAAAAAAAAAAAAAAAAAAAAAAGGGGGGTTGGGGGGTGGGGGGTGCGAGGAAATATAGAAAAATAGAAAGAAGAAAATGTCACCTGTTCCCCTCTGCTATCCCCTATGGAAATAGTGACAAGTTAGAATGTTTGAATTTTGGAGTTTATCCCTCCAGACTTTGGGATCTGTATGATTGTGTGTGCATGTTTGTGTGCATGCATGTAAGTGCACGTGCACATGCGTGTATTTAATAGAGTAGGATCAAACTGTATAAACTACTGTCCTACTGTAAGCTACATCATTTTTAATGGAACAAAACTATTTGGGCACCTTTCTATGTCAAATACACAAACTTACTTCATTCTCTTAGTAGCGACACATCAGTCCAGCTGATTCTTAAATAAATCAACATTGTCTTTAGTTCTGTAAAAGCTTCATTAAAATTTTAATTATAATTGACTTAAACTGATAATATAGGGGAGAGTTCACACTTTAAAAGCTTAGTTTTTCTTTTTTTTTTTAATTTTTTTGAGACGAAGTCTCACCCTGTTGCCCCAGGCTAGAGTGTAATGGCGAGATCTCGGCTCACTGCAACCTCTGCCTCTTGGGTTCAAGCGATTCGTCCACCTCAGCCTCCTGAGTAGCTGGAACTACAGGTATGTGCCACTATGCTGGGCTAATTTTTTGCAAAATTACGTCGTTTTTCTATCAAGGAACATGGCATATCTTTCCATTTATTTAAGTCTTCTCTTTTGTCTTTCAGCAAAATTTCATATTTTGTTTCATATACTTTACGTCTTTATTAAGATAATCTCTATATATTTAATTAGAGATTCTGAATAATGGTGACTAAGGGCATGCAATAAGCCTCCTTATGTTATTGCCTGTTTTATTGGTAATGCTGCCACATCTGATGGTTAAATATGGTATTTGCTCTCAGTTCTTGATAGACACTCTTTACTGAATTTAGAAAACATCCTTCCATTCCTAATTTACTAAGAGTGTTTTATGAAAGACATTTAAAATCTATGTTCATACTGTTCTGTAAAAAAAAAAAAGAAGACATTTAAAGTCATCTGTTCAGATGATGATACACAGTTTTTTCTCTCTAACCTAATAATAAAGCAAAGCATCACATGAACTGATTTGCTTTGTGGTTTATGTATTGTCTATGGCAGATTTCACCCTGTAGTAACAGCGTTGAGCAGCTATACTGTTCCATAGGAAAAAAGAGATATTTAAGGTCATCTATTGAGATGATCATATGTAGTTTTTTCTCTCTAACCTAATAATGCAAAGCATCACATTAACTGAATTGCTAGGTGTTTTATGTATCGTCTATGGCAGATTTCACTCTGTAATAGCAGAGTTGAGGAGCTGCAATGTGACCCACTTGCGGGTTCAAGCGATTCTCTTGCCTCAGTCTCCCAGGTAGATGGGATTATAGGCACCTGCCACCATGCCTGGCTAATTTTTGTATTTTTAGTAGAGACAGGGTTTCACCATGTTGGCCAGGCTGGTCTGGAACTCCTGACCTCAGGGGATCCACATACCTCAGCTTCCCAAAGTGCTGGGATTACAGGTGTGAACCACCATGCCCAGCCTCTCCTCAAGCTTCTGATTGTTTTGTCTTCCATATAAGCCGGATGTTTTTAGCACCCGAGATGGAGCTTCACAGACCTAAAGATCTGTAGCTTGTGGGCTTCTGTAGCGCTGCCTGAAGAGCTCATGTGCACAGTGGCTAAGTGCAAAGACTTGAAAGCCAGAGTACCTGGGTTCTTCTCCTGATCTGGTCCTTACTAGTTGTGCCCACTGAGGCAAGTTCCTCTCTCTGTGAGCTCATAAGGCTGTTTCACAGGTTAAGCAAATTAAGCTGTGTAAAGCACATAGAACTCTAACTGGCCACATATAAGGGCTAAATTTAAAAAAATGTAGAATTTCAGAATAGATATTACTTCTCTAGCATTAGAGACTGACTTAGCATGGGAAAGACAGGCAGGAAGGTGCAGGGACATTTAAAAGATATTGTCAAACAGCTCACAAATGTGTACTTACCAATATTTTTCTGGATCTCTATGACAAAGTGATTCTCTGGATTCTGGCAGCTAAAGGTAAAGATGATCCTTTCTCCAGACTTGATGTGCAACATGGTTGTAGGTTTTTTAGAAATGATGATGTTACAGGATTTTGCCAGTGGAGTCGGGGTCCCTGGCTTTATAAGAACTGTTACGTTGCTTTCTCGTGGCAGGGCAATCTCGAAAGCTTCTGAAGGAAGAAAGAAAAATGAAGTAAGCAGGATGACTTAGGTCTGCAAACTGCTGTGGTCCGCCCCAGCCCCCACCCCAATCTGGTTCAGAAAGGATCCCCTCTCTGACAACTTCGTTCCTTCCCTCCTTTTCTGAGGAGGATGGTGCAAGATAACAGTCCTGACCTTAGCAATCAAAAAGAACCAGGACACCGCTGGCTGGTCACTAACATGTGTTTCTTGTTTGCATTATCAATTTGTCTACAAATTGAAAACACTATATCACATTCTCTATGTCTGGAGCAGTATACGCTGTTAGAGATCCCACCTGAATGGTATTAATAACAACCAGAGTAACCCCCACACCTTTTCTCAACACGACTGTAGAACAAAGTCTACACACAGAAACCATCCATCTGTAAGGAGACACATTTATCTGCAAAGAGCTGCTGTCCCTCGTCCTGAATGCTTTATATGCCCAGCACAGACATACATACATAAATACATATGTACATACATATGGAAGTGGGGGCTAGAAAAACGTGCAGAAATTAGATATAATCACATTGTATCAATGAACTGGGAAAGTTAGAGTAAAACAATACTACTGTCTCAGACTGGGGTATGGTAAAAACATCTGAGCAAACAATATCAAGCAAGTGAGGTGGTGGTTAGTTTTTTGTTTTTTTTTTTTGAGATATAGTCTCTGTTGCCCAGGCTGGAGTGCAGTGGCGCAATCTTGGCTCACTGCAACCTTCCCCTCTGGGTTCTAGCAATTCTTCTGCCTCAGCCTCCTGAGTAGCTGGGATTACAGGTATGCACCATCACGCCTGGCTAATTTTGTACTTTTAGTGGAGATGGGGTTTCATCCTGTTGGTCATGCTGGTTTCGAACCCCTGACCTTGTGATCTGCCTGCCTTGGCTTCCCAAAGTGCTGGGATTACAGGCGTAAACCACCACACCTAGCCGGCAGTTAGTTATTAAGCAGAACTGTACAAATGTCAGGGTAGGCCTCTGGTTTACAAACAAGCCCCATCTCCTTCCCATTTGCTTTGCTTGATGGATTAAGTGCTCTTGGACAAAGAAGGGAGAGCCACTTTCTCCTTAGCAGCTACTGCCCCTGCCCTATCTTGGGTTCTGATTATGAGTCTCCAGGCAGCTGATGGTCTGGGAGCAGCAGATGATGGGAGGATAGGCTGTAGGTGAACACTTCAGAGGAAGCCCAGGGGCTCACACAACCATTGTGGTACCGTGTTCTGGTGCAAACAGCGGGTAGGGATCTGTTACCGTGCTGGCACACAAATGGTGCTTGATAAGCAGTTAGTGAATGAATAACAATCTAATCGTGAAAAGAATAGATGGGAAGCTTTTGTTTCCCATCTATTCTTTTTTCCCTTCTTTAAAAATTTTATTTTTAAATAATCTACCTTATTGAGAGTAATTTACACACATTAAAAAGGACCCACTTATTTGAAAAGTTTTGACTAAATGTACACACCCATGTGACCACCACAATCAAGATAGACAAACGTTTTCCTCACCCTCAAAAATTCCCCTGGTGCCCCTCTGCAGTCAACCTCCACTCCAGGTCCCAGAAAACCGTCAGTGAATTTGTCCTGCTCTGGACCTTCATGCAGATGGAAGCCTACAGTACTTTCTCTTTTGTAGCTGGCTGCTTCTGCTCGGCATGCTTGTGAGATTCACCCACACTGCCGCATGGGTCAGTAGTTTCCTTCTTTTTATTGCTGAGTACTATTCCATTGACAAAATAGGCCATGATTTATTTATCCATGTACCTGCTGAATGACATTTGAGTCCTCTTCAGTAATGGACCAGCCACATGCTGTAATTTTACCAGAACTGCTAGCCTGCACAAGACTGGATGTACTTCTGCCAGGGGCTGTGAGTGGGCACGCCGTATTCCCACAGCTCAGCAGCTGTATGCGATCACACATTTGGATGTCTGTCACCCTCTTTTTGTGCCTCTCTCCATCCTACACTCTGCTCCAGCCCTGCTGGCGAGCCGCTCCTTACAGAGTATGGAAATGGATCTCCCAACCTGTGATATGAACTGTAAATATTTCCCCCAGTTTATCATTTGCCTTTTGACCTGACTTAGAATGGTTTGTCATCCTCTTTGGGCCTCTGTTCCTTCACTGTGAAATGAAGGGGTGGGGCTAGAATAACTCTACACTCCCTTCCATCTCTGAGCTTATGACCAGTACCTGAGTAACTGGAAGCATTCACAACTACTGCCCAGAAGTGACATCTCTCTCTGGGCACCAGGGCACCGTCATGGCCAGTTTTATGACTGTTTACAAGAGTGCTTAGGTTTCCGTTTTTGGAGCAAAGCTTCTCGTCTTTCTGGTCTCTGCTTGTAACCCTCTCCACTTGAGTCACTGGATTCAGGCCACTGTGGCCTTCTTTCTTGAACATACTAATCTCTTTCCCACCTCAAGACCTTTGCATGTGCTGGTCCCGACACCAAAGTGCTTTCTCTAGAAAAAGCTGGCTCCTTTTCGTCATTCCAATCTCAGCACAAAGGTCACATCTTCAAAGTGGCCTTCCCTGACCAGCCCACCAAAGTGCTCTTCCCCCGCCCCCTCAGTCCTCCTGAACCCTGCGCTTCACACCCATCCCCACCCTAGTCTCCCCAGCAGAGTCCTGCCTCCCGGTATCAGAATGTGGCTCCTACAGGAGGCAGCAGGAACTTGGCCTGTATTTTTCAGTGGTAGCTCCAGGACCCAGACAGTGCCTGATGCCCACAAGGAGACAAAAAGTTTTAAGCCCCAAAACGGCACTATATAAAACTATTAGTACTCATGTTCTTGTCTTCACCGCATTGAATTTCTCATAGACACACCACCATTCACATATTTTCTTTGGGCTAATAAATTCTGGCAAGAAAAGGAACTATGAATCTTTTAATTAATAGCTTGAACGACAGAATACATTCTCTGAGGCATAAGTTTTATTTACTCAAATGCTTGGTCTTCAAGCAGTGTGGCCGTTTCGAATCTTCTGAGGCTGAGGGGTTCTTTAAGACATCAGATTAAAAACGAATCCAGATCTATGTTCAGAAACCCAGTTGCCAGATTTATGTCTGAGCTGTATATTACGACTCTTGTGTTCTTTTTCTGTAATCATAAAAATGCCTGTGTTATTTGTAAAAAAATTCTTGGAGCACCCAGTCTCTCCAGGTTGGGCGAATTCACCATCAGGTGAAGCAGAGTCCAATCTGAGGCTACAGCCTGCCTAGCTATGTTACCAATGTCTTTCTCATTTCCATTTCCCCTTCGGTCAGGTTTTTTACCCTTTATTTAAAAATTCCTGCCCCTGTGATCATTAGTATTTTAAACTAGTGCCAGACACTAAGCAGAGCTGCTGCGTTGCCTGAGGCTAGCAGTAGGGAGAGGGGATGGAGGACCAGGGGCCAAGCAGACTGTGTTGGGTGAGGGGACTGTTTTGTATCTTGGCTATAGCAGTGATCACATCTTGTATACAAATGCCAAAATTTATCAAACCGTAGTACACTTAAAACTGATGATGTTTATTTTATGTAAGTTATACCTTAATAAAAAGAAAAAAAAAAGTGTTCGAAAGATCATGTTTTTACACAAAGTAGGCATGTCATAAATTAATAAAAGAATAATCATTACCACAGCTAAAATATGGTTCAATATTATTTCAGGGGGAGCCTAGGTATGTAATATTTTAAATCTGTTTAACTTAGATTCAGAGAAGACCAAGCCTGATCTCACCAAAATCTTTCCACTGAGTTCTCCATTGTTTGGCCAGGTCAGTGCCCAAAATAATTCTAGGTATATGGTAAGCTATTCTATTATAATGACAGCCAAAGAAAAATGTAATCTCGGCGTAGAATTTATTTTATTTTATTTTGAGACAGAGTTTCCCTCTGTTGCCCAGGCTGGAGAGCAATGGCGTATCTCAGCAACCTCTGCCTTGGGGACTCATGTGATTCTCGTGCCTCAGTCTCCTGAGTAGCTGGGACTACAGGTGCGCCACCACGCCTGGCGAATTTTTGTATTTTTAGTAGAGATGCAGTTTTGCCATGTTTGGCCAGGCTGTTCTCAAACTCCTGAACTTACGTGATTCTCCCACCTTGGCCTCTCAAGGTGCTGGGATTATAGATGTGAGCCACTGTGCCTGGCCTAGAAATTCATTTTTGAAAGAATTTTGGAAATGATGTAATCATTCAACAAATATTTTCTGGGTTCATAATCTATTCTAGGGATATACTTGGTGCAAATGACTTAATGATAAAAACAGCCGGAGTCCCTGCCCTCAGGGAATTAATAACCTAGACTAAAGGCCTACAAATGGTCTATGATAAAGTTCTAAGCCCCAGTAGGTGTATCAAGGGCTCTGGGAATCTGTATTGGTCTATGGTGAGAGGTAGGGATTTTTTTTGGTCCATAGTGAGAAGTAGGTATTCACTTTTATTTTTTTTCCATATGGAGAGCCCATTGTTCCAACTCTAAGCATTGAATATACCAGTCCTTCATTAATTTCTAATGCTACTTCTATTGTTCATATATTTTATTTAGCGTCTAAATAACCCAGATTTTCATGCAGACTCATTTTGCAATCAAGGAAGATGAAACCTTGTGAGCATTAAATGACTCACTCCTGGTAGACGTTTAACATCTTAATGTGCTTGTTCGCCCTGGCTGAGATGATCAATCCAGCACGTTTTACTGTCCAGGTGTAGTTTGTAATTATTCTTTGGTGTACCAGACCAGAGAATTTGGGCTTAAGTAATCCCTATGTGGTGTCCAGCTCATAGTTCAGAGGAAACAACTAAGCTGAAGACACATATTAGACAAAGCTGAGTTTAGCCACCTTTGCATCAGGAGGAGATTACTTACATTACAGGCTTTTTTCTAGGGTCATAGCCAAAGGCACGTCACCCACATGGCTGCCATTTTTAATGGTCTCCCTTATCCTAAATGATAAATAAGTTAGCTGGAAGGGGTGAATAGGAGCAAGAAGATAATGA